AAATTTCAGGTCGACACATAAGTGTTATTTTTGTGCAAAAAGTGATTTTTCATGATTGGTATCAATTTTAAAGTTGTTTTAAATGACTCCTAATACCTATAATGCAAAGGGGTTCCACAAGACATAAGGATATCGTCCACCATACTGAAATTCTAGCTTTCTGAGTTTTGAATCATGCAAAACATCTAATAGTGAAGTTGTACTCACAATGAATTGTACGGATGCTCAGAGGGTGCAGTTTGGTACACACATGCTTGAGAATGAAGTTGGGGATTGGTGAAATAACACTGTTAAGAGGTTTGATGAAGATGGGATTGAAGTTACTTGGGTGTTGTACCCAAAAATTTTCCTTCTCATGTTTTCCAAGGTTTTATCTTATATGGGTGGTCACAAACACTTGGTTAAAGAAAAATAAATTTTTTGAAGATAAACAAGGTGTCTTCGATTGGCTTTGAGACATGGTGTTTTCTATTAGCCCCTGAGCAGTTTGTTTTTTCGATTGTCTTCTGGATAAGGAGATTCGATTGGGCATCTAAAACCCTTCGATCAGGCTTTGGTATGCAAGTCTTCGATTGGGCACTGGGCCTCCTTCGATCAAGATAAGTTCACAAGGTCTTCAATTGGGTGCCAAGTTTCTTTCAATCAAGTTAAGTTCACAAGGCTTCAACTGTGCAAGGAAAGAACCCCCTACAAGTTTGTTTCGATTCACAAGGGAAAAGGCTTCCCCTGTGCTTACTTTCAATGCACAAGGCCAACACCCTTTCAACTGGCCTTCGATTTACAACGCAATGAACTCCTCATGCTAACATCCACAAGGAATTCACTTCCTTTGTGCTAGATTCGACTGGGCAATGGTTCCCTTCAAAATTGCTTGCGTTAACTCTACCTCTGAACCTTTCATCATATGATTGCCACATTATGAGACCTTATTGGTGAAGCATTCGAAGAATGCATGAGGCATACATGCGCACTATTCAAAATACACACAAAAGGTTCATTCGAAGGATGCACAGGTGTTCCATTCGAAGGTTGTACAAGTGTTCCATTCGAAGGATGTACATGTGTTCCATTCGACGGATGTAACAAAAGGTCCATTCGAAGAAGCATTCAGAAAGTCCATTCGAAGGGTACATAAGAGATCCATTCGAAGGAGGAGACTTAAGGATAATCGAAGGGCATGGCCTGAAGGTATTCGGAAGTCAAAGGTGTCCAGGTTCATAGCAAATTCAAAAAGGGACAAGAAATAATTTCTTTGGCAAAGTTTCAAAGTGATATTCATGGCCTTAAAACACCAACTTAATGGTTGTTTATTCCTTTGCCCTCTTGTCCCCTCCATCCCCTCTATATAAGGAGCACACTACAAGCTTCAAAGACGGAAAAAAAAACAGCTCGAACGAGATACACACACAGCAAAAACAAATATACGCACACGCGGCCTCCCAAACCACGTCAAATTTATAATAAAAAAACCTCATAAATTATCTAAATCGAAGGAATCTTCAACAACACTCTGAAACAACCGGCTGAAAATCATCAAAACAATGAAGTCGCCATCGAACGTATTTTATCCCACAGGAAGGGAAAGGTAAACATCGAGAAAACCTGAGAGGGGTGAAATCAAGGTCGAACGACCAAGAGATAAGGGTAAGGGAGTCTGTTACGTGAGGGGAAGGTATTAGCACCCCACACGCCCGTAGTACTCTACGGTATCCACTCTTATTATCTATCTTATTGGTGTGTTTAATCTATGCTTACTGTTTATTACTGCTACTGAAGGGAGAATGCATGAAAAAGAAAAGGGGAAAAATGTAGGGAAACTAAAAGTTGTGCTCGTTCGGGCCCTACCCCGATGCCTACATATCCTTTTTGAGGAATCAGAGCAGCCGTAGTTTGGCTTATGTTTTTGTTGGTTTGTATTTTTTTAATGAACAGTATTAATTTCGCCTTCTGCCGCAACTCGACCTTTGGAGACTTACGCGTCAGCACAGGAGTGAATTAACATGCTCTCTTGAAAAGTTTAGAAAGAAGTGTGCCTGGACGAACAAAAAAGGTTCGAACTTGTTTGTTTTTGTAATGAATGATATTAATTCCGCCTTCTGCCGCAACTCGACCTTTGGAGACTTACGTGTCAGCACATAAGTGAATTAATACGCTCTTTCTGAAAAAAATTTGAAAGGAAGGCCCGAAGGAAAAAATAATTTTATGTTTGTTGGTGTTTTTGCTTGTGGAGAATAACTAGTTAATCTCAAGGGAGAGATTTTAGCCATGTCTCTACTTATTCGTGAAATGATTCTTTGAGACTTGAACCATGCCCAGCCTTAGAATAAGAGAATAATAATATCGAGAGGAAACCCGCTTATCATTTCCCAAACTTAGCAAAGACATGATTCTTGTCAGTGAATTTTTATGTATTTTTGAAGTTTGAAAAAAAGAGTTTTAGTGCATATGCAAAAAAGGGAAGAAAAGTCACAGGGAGACTAGCCTATTTCTAAATCTAATTTTATCATGCATTGTTAGACCCAAGTCAAGGATGAATAAAAGGGAAACGTCTACCTAATGTTAGCATGCACATGTATTACGGTAAAGCCTTGCTTCTCATGATTTTTAGAAAAGCAATAAAGAAACGCGATAAAGTGCGAAAATGAAGAGAAAAATAGAGTTGCAGTGATACCGAACGGAGAAGGTCCGTTGCCTCTTCAAAGTCACACAAGCAATAAGAAAAAATTATTAAAAGCTTCCCTAGAGAGACGGGACACTTCTTCGCCTGTTATAATATCCTAGGAACTTTTAATCGAAATTTAAAAGATAAAATTACAATAATTAATAACAAATGTCTAATGTCCAACAAAAGCGATCCAAGGCCTCCACGTGTACCTATTAACATCTACACAAAATTTTCGCAAAAAAATCATGAAGGAATCATCAATAATTAATTGCACAAAATTAATCACCAAATGAAAATTAAAGGAAAATCCAGGTGGTGTGTGGATCAGGCAGCGGGGTTGCAAAATAATTGTCCATTCCACAATGAGGTCCATTAACATTTTTTGTACAATCCACATGCTCTCAAAAAACTCCCTTTGGGCCAAGAAGAGGGTGGATCAGCCAAGCAACCTACAATACCATTCCATTTTTTTCCCTTATTAATATATATTAAAAAAGAGTAAAACTATAAGGAAAAAAAAGAAATCTAAATTAAAAAAGGATTAGGGTTTAGTGTCTGTCGTTTGGACTTCTTCGACCCTCTTCCTCTTTTGCAGCGCCGCTAGCCCCTTCTCTACTCCGATAAGCTTCGTCAGTTCCGATCAGCTAACGCCTCTATGTCAGCATCATCTCTTCCCTTGTGATCCTGTTCGCCTTCGTCTCAAACTCTTCCTCAATGGTTTCACCATAGAGCCACCGTAAACACTCCGCTCATCATCTAACCTCCGTCCGACTTTGATTCCGTTTTCCATCTATTCATAATTCAAACGCTTATATGACAAATTCAAGCCGTTTAACCTTCAACGCATCAACCTCCATCGTTAGTTCATGATTTGAGGAAAATTCTTCTTTGTTCTGATCATTCGACCGAAGAAGCATTCTTCATGAAATCCAAAGAAATTCAAGAGAAAATCTGATGCGCGACATCATCGTAAGTTCCGTTTCTTTACCCTATCTACTTCCTTCAATCTTGTAATTCTGAATAAATTTGTAATGTTGTTGTTGATGTTCACAGGATATCGATTGGGATAGAGAAAGATGATAATGACAATTTTGTTATTACAGTATGCTTGAAGAAGAAGCACTGAAGTTTTTGTGATGAATCGGATAAGCCACATAGATTAAGATTCAATGTTATTGACAAAGATTTGTAGAACGGATCTGTGTTGATGAAGTTTGAAGAAGTGAAGGAGGTTTTTGGAGACTTTTCTGCAGAATTGATGGAGTTATGGCATGTGTGTGTTGCTGTTTCAGAGATGATGAAAGATGATGAAATCTTGTGGTTGCGGATCGATGAAGATAGCGGAGTATTACAGAAGGTTGCTGAACAATGAAGACTACGGAAGAATTGATGACATTTGTATGAAGCTTCAGTGAGATGGACTGGTGCGGTTCAGAGAGAGTTCTAGAGATTTTTGCAGGTGAAATTTTGTAGTTTTCAGAGAGAGAGACAGTAGAGAGATGATTCTGATTTTTTGTGGTGACTCTTCCAGAATGCTGAAGAATTGAAGGATTCAAGAAAGTGAAACATGGATTGTGATGTTGATAATGATGTGCGATGAACCTATGAAGTGTTACTTGATTTCAGGGAGTTTATGAGGGATTACGGTTGGTTTTCTCATAATGAATGAAGAATGATGAAGATGAAGATGTAAGGTGCGGAAGAGAAGAAAGCATGATTGTGATTTGCATAGAGAGAGGGAACGATGGAAGTTTCAGAGAGAGAATGGAGTTTGAGAGTGAAGGTTGAAAGGTTAGTATCTGATTTTTTTATGAATTTTTCTGGTGAATGAATAATGAAGCATGAATCACTTCTCCCTGTCCTCTTTCTGTTATCTTCCTGTTATCGATTTTTTTGTAACTCTATGAATTGTGTTTTTTCTACTATGAGCAGAAATATGTTATATCTAGTGGTGAGTTTGTTAACTAGAGTCTATCTCAGCCTTTGATCGAGAAAGTTTGTTATGAAAATCAATGGTTTTGATCCAATCGGTTAGGGGTTATTTTAGAGTTATGTTATAAGTTTCTGTTTGGAAGTTTGTTGAGTTTATGAAAGTTAGTTACAGTGCTGTTAGGAAGTTTTGGTTAGACGCTGTTAAGAATTCTGTTAGAGTTTGGATTCTGTTAGAAAATTAATTCCAGGGTTGTTATGAAAAACTTGGTTTGACAATTAGGAAATTGTTTTCTGTTAGTAACTACCAGTGAAATCTTTGATAACAGTTAGTTATAGTAGATGGGCTGACCTTAGATTTGAATGAAATTGAAAGTTATTTACTTAATTATTTTGGTTTCTTTTTCTAAGCCAATTTTGTTAATTGATACAGGGCTGAACTGGTTGCATTTGATTCTTGTGCAGTATCAGCACCTGGCTGATGAAATCCAGGAAGACCAGAAAAGTTTACAGTAGAACTGGGCCTGCTAAGATCATCTTGACGAATTAAAGGCATTGAGTTTATATTGGGGGCTGACTGCAAATTATTATCAGGCCAAACTGCTTGTTGTTTATTGCTATCAATGGGTGAAGGTCCTTCTTTTGGAAATGACCGTTCAGTGTTCCTAGAACTTAGACCACTCCATTCCTCTTGTATACCCACTTCACTACTAGAAGTTTCAGCTACAGCAGACTGCATCAGTGCACTCCAACTCCCACTCTGAAGAGAAGGAAATCCACTAAAACTATCTGAACCATCCAGCATATTTAAAGCAGAATTCCTGCCAAATCCATCCCAAGGGTTGTCATCAGAACCAAACAAAATTTTTTTCTTCAGTTAGATCTACTGTAGCCACATTATGTGGAGGAGCCTGCACTATCGACTTGTCTTGTGAAGTCTCGGAAGATACAACTAGTTCTTGTCTCGCGTGAAAATCTTCCATTGGTACATCTCTTTGCTCAAAATTTATTTGCTGCAAGTTCTCCATATTTAGCCCGCTATTAATACCAGGAGCAATTGAACCAAACATATTTTTTCCTTGAATATCTTGTCTAGAAACTGAAGTTCCATCATCTAGGTTAGTTTGATCTGACATAACAGCATAGTGGTGAGATGGAAATGCATTAACGCTGGTTGATATGGATGGTAATGATTGTTTGAAGAATGCAACAAGTCGGTTCGCTCGGGGCATGAGGTTTGAAGAATACATGACGATGGCGAACTTTGGCATGGCATGGAATTGGAAGTTTACTCATGGAATTTTAGCACCTTTAGGACTAAAGAATTTTGTTCAAGTGTATTTTGTAACAAGATTTTTTCTTTGTGGAATATTGGTGTAATGGGATTGTAATGATTTTATAATGAATGTTTGGTTTGGATGAACTTGAAATTTATAGTGTGAATTATAAATGACCTTCGATCTTGAAATGTCGGGTGATTACATTTATGGACGGAGTTTAAATGACAAGGTCTTGAAAAAATGCTTGAAGACATGAAAGCATGAAATTTTCTTGTGGGGTATTGTTACTCTTGAATGAAATTGAATGGAATTGGATAGTATTTTCTTTAATCATGAATGAAAGGGTTTGAATAAATTTTGAACACATGTGAACGTTAATCTGGAATGACGATGAACATATTTATAATGCAGATGAACTTCGACTTGAAACAAGACTCCGCAGTCAGTACTTTACCTTCCAAGAAACTCATATGACCAATACTTAAGGCTCTTTGCCAACTTTAATCCAATCAAACACTTTCGAACATCTTGAATTCAAATCAAACTTCAAATCCAAACCACACTTGCATTCTCAATGAACTCCTAACTTCAATCTTGAATCCAAATCAATTTGTATGATAAGTAATTTGCATAAACAATAAGATCTTGATCCTAAAAAATTTACAACCTTGCCTTTTGTATCATGCCTCATATTCCACGATTCAATCCACAAGTCTCTTATCTTGACAAAGTCCTTCCCTAATTGACGACCTTAAATCATCAAATATGTACATAAATGATAATGAAAGAACATGATCAAGATTAACATGAAACCTTATTTCCCATGATCTTCAATTACTTGAACATTTATCAACGAATAGAAACCCTGATTTCTAATGAAATTTTCTTTTTTGAACCAATATTTCTTTTCCTTTTTCCATACCATTATTTTAATGTAACTTGAATGCCTAACACATATTAGATGAAAGTTTGAGGGAGACCTTGGTCCAAAGGTTAATTTTTCAAAGCTTACTTTAACCGAAGTCAACAGATCTTATCCACATATCTTTGAAATTGGCCCATGATTATGCATCTCAAGGTCTCATAAGAGCTTGAAAGCCCACCAACCAGGTATGCCATGTTGAATAAAACCCTTCCTTGAATGCCTTGAACCTTGAATTACTTTGCATGAATTCTTCCATGAGAAACCTACTTCAATCCAAACCTACTCGCATCGTAGATAACAAATGACAATGATGAGGACAATGATTGCCTTGGTTAAGGAGAAGTCTATGAATTCATATCTTAGGTCATGAACGACGCTTCACAATTCAATCCCTAGCCCTTAGCGATTGGTTATTTCAACTTGAAATTAGTGTCATAAGGAGCATCTTACAGATGGATGATAAAGTCTGAATCACAGAAGAATTCCCTTAATGTGAAACCCTAGTCGCGCAAATGAAAACCCCAGCACTTGCCAAAATTAGATAAAAGCAATTATATCTTGAAGAGAAAGAAATCCTATTAACCACACCTTACAATTTTGATTCCTTGGTTTAGATGCACAGAGAAATATCTGGATGAAACTTCTTTGAACCATGATTCAACAAAACCTAAATTGATTAACTGAAGAGTAGATGAATGTCATGCCATAGTCATTAATCCTAATCAAATGATAAGCATACTTATAGGAAGAGACGCCATGATTCGAAGCACCCATATTCTAGGTCACGCCCTGGAGTTCTTAACCAGAATGACCTACAACCAGTTGTTCATCAGAAGATATTAGCCGTGTAACTTGGTGGAGAAGAAGTCCAAAAATGAGCCTGAACTAAAACCTTAATTCCAAAAGTTTGTACACCGAGAAGACCCTGGATAATCAAACTTATCCAACACATACACCTCAAATCAATTGTAAACCCTTGCTTCCTAACTGCTGATCTTTTGAGCCTCAGGCGATCTATTTTATGAAAAATGCGTGCTATGCAAATAACCCATTGGAATGATGCAGATGAATGCAAAAACTCTAAGCCATAAAAGTGCAATTAGGAGGGCAAATTTTGGGGTGCAACAGCTGCCCCTATTTAATCGCCTTCGACCTGAAGCTTAGATTGGCGCCAGCCTTTCGAACTTTCAAGGTAGAAGAATATTAAATACTAAAAGAACTCGAAAATTTGCGCTCCGGAGTCAGTCAGGTATACACTATATTTTCTGTTTTCTGTATTTTATTTTATTTTTTTCTAGGTTAAAGGGGTTATCGAGGTTAGATGTATGTTAAACCAGAGTTTGACAAACAGAAGAATAAATTGGTTATCAAGGAACATTTGTTGGAGTTTAGTAACAAAACACCTGTAAGAAAGATATCAAAGTATATATGCCTGAAGTCTGTAGCAGACATACGAAAAAAAGTATCAGAGACACATCTCTGGGGTTGGTAGCGGATACGCAAGAAAGAGACATCAAAAATACATATTCGTGGTCGGTATCGAACACGTAAGAAAGAGATAGAAAAGATACATATTCATGGTCGGTATCGGATACGTACGAAAGAGATATCAAAGATACATATCCGTGGTTGGTATCAGATACGTACGAAAAGAGACATCAAGAATACATATTTGTGGTCGGTATCAGATACGTACGAAAGAGACAGACCGAAGAAAGCTCTTACAAAGAAACACCAATCGAAGGTGAACTTACTGAGGGAAGAGACCAAACAAATGGGACTCCTGACAAATGATACCAGTCGAAGGTGGATTTAAAAGAAATGACACCAGCCGAAGATGGATTTTAACAAAGGATACCAGCCGAAGCGGGATTTTGAAAGATACCAGCCGAAGCGGGATTTTGACAAAGGAATTCCTGCCAAATCCATCCCAAGGGTTGTCATAAGAAACAAACAAAATTTTTTTCTTCAGTTGGATCTACTGTAGCCACATTATGTGGAGGATCCTGCACTATCGACTTGTCTTGTGAAGTCTCGGAAGATCCAGCTAGTTCTTGTCTCGCGTGAAAATCTTCCATTGGTACATCTCTTTGCTCATAATTTATTTGCTGCAAGTTCTCCATATTTAGCCCGCTATTAATACCAGGAGCAACTGAACCAAACATATTTTTTCCTTGAATATCTTATCTAGAAACTGAAGTTCCATCATTTAGGTTAGTTTGATCTGACATAGCAGCATAGTGGTGAGCTGGAAATGCATTAACGCTGGTAGATATGGATGGTAATGATTGTTTGAATAATGCAACAAGTCGGTTCACTCGGGGCATGAGGATTGAAGAATACATGACGATGGCGAACTTTGGCATGGCATGGAATTGTAAGTTTACTCATGGAACTTTAGCACCTTTAGGACTAAAGAATTTTGTTCAAGTGTATTTTGTAACAAGTTTTTTTCTTTGTGGAATATTGGTGTAATGGGATTGTAATGATTTTATAATGAATGTTTGGTTTGGATGAACTTGAAATTTATAGTGTGAATTGTAAATGACCTTCGAGCTTGAAATGTCGGGTGATTACTTTTATGGACGGAGTTTAAATGACAAGGTCTTAAAAAAATGCTTGAAGACATGAAAGCATCAAATTTTCTTGTGTGGTATTGTTACACTTGAATAAAATTGAATGGAATTGGATAGTATTTTCTTGAATCATGAATGAAAGGGTTTGAATAAATTTTGAACACATGTGAACTTGAATCTGGAATGACGATGGACATATTTATAATGCAGATGAACTTCGACTTGAAACAAGACTTCGCAGTCAGTACTTTACCTTCCAAGAAACTCATATGACCAATACTTAAGGCTCTTTGCCAACTTTAATCCAATCAAACACTTTCGAACATCTTGAATTCAAATCAAACTTCAAATCCAAACCACACTTGCATTCTCAATGAACTCCTAACTTCAATCTTGAATCCAAATCAATTTGTATGATAAGTAATTTGCATAAACAATAAGATCTTGATCCTAAAAAATTTACAACCTTGCCTTTTGTATCATGCCTCATATTCCACGTTTCAATCCACAAGTCTCTTATCTTGACAAAGTCCTTCCCTAATTGACGACCTTAAATCATCAAAGATTTACATAAATGATAATGAAAGAGCATGATCAAGATTAACATGAAACCTTATTTCCCCTGATCTTCAATTACTTGAACATTTATCAACGAATAGAAACCCTGATTTCTAATGAAATTTTCTTTTCTGAACCAATATTTCTTTTCCTTTTTCCATACCATTCTTTAAATGTAACTTGAATGCCTAACACACATTAGATGAAAGTTCGAGGGAGCCCTTGGTCCAAAGGTTAATTTTTCAAAGCTTACTTTAACCGAAGTCAACAGATCTTATCCACATATCTTTGAAATTCGCCCATGATTATGCATCTCAAGGTATCATAAGAGCTTGAAAGCCCATCAACCAGGTATTCCATGTTGAACAAAACCCTGCCTTGAATGCCTTGAACCTTGAATTACTTTCCATGAATTCTTCCATGAGAAACCTACTTCAATCCAAACCTACTCGCATCGCAGATAACA